TGGTGGTGGTGATGATGATGATGATGATGCTGATGCTGGTGCTGGTGATGGTGATGATGATGATGATGATGATGCTGCTGCTGCTGCTGCTGGTCATGGTGGGTCTTTGTTAAATGTTGTGATAAAAGCCCTTCCCACATCAAACTACACTCCCTGGCACAATCATGGAAGTGGAAAATGGCCCCTTTGATGACCACCTTCCTCTACAAACAGGTCCACTTCCATGAATATTTTGGGAGTGCATATATTTCAACCAACACCGATCAATATCTATGAGGCACAACCACACAAAAGATTGACGATCGACGATTGCCCTCTTAGTTACCTATTCTATTCTTGAGGAAACACCTGCCACTTGAAGCAGCAAAAGGGTATGGCCAGGCAGCCAGGATATCTGTCAATCCTTTCAGCCACTCTATCTAGCACCTCACTCCCCCAAACACATCCACATACACTCCCTGAACTCACTAATCATTGAAGTGGAAAACAACAAAACAACACCTGCTGCCTCACCTGCTTGGTGTTCGGAAAAGGGTCATCCAAGGAGCCATGCCATCCACAATTAAATTGTATTATATACCAATATTGAATATACCAGGACCCTCTAAGGGGTGCCCTGTCTGGAAGCCTATAGGTAGTGTGGGGTAGTCCAGCCAGGACACCCCGACAGGAGGGTCCTGGTATACCAATATGTTTCAGTGCAAGAAGCGCTGGTCCTTCCAGCTGTTTTGGGTCCAGCTGCGCCTGGCGATGGCTTCTCGGCCTGGCGACGACCACGAGTTTCGTGGCGACGCCGAGTCCGACGACGTCGTCCCTGTCGTGAAGGACAAGACGAGTGGAGCACGGGCGTCTTCACGGCCAAGCGGTTTTCTTGGAGGCCAGAAATGCCATGAATTACACTTCCCTATTTTAACGTAGAACCTGAGAACTCAAAAGTGTGCACTAACACCACCTCAAACCACTATGTTAAAATAGCGAAGAGTACTTGGTCTTCACGTGGTGTGGAATTCCAAAGCCGGTGCTTCGAACCGAAGGCACCTCGTTTCGTGTGTCTACGGGGTGTCCGCGAAGTTGAGGCTGATGTGAAGAACACAAATGGCGCCACAAGAAGCATCCTGTCCTGAAGGAGCCGCAGCTCAGGCTTGGCCGGACCTTGGCAGCTGCAACGGAGTTGTGGAGTTGGTCGCAGCTCAGACATCTTCCCCACCCTTGCGCGACTCACCCGAGAGTGGTGCAAGCCTCTCAAGCAAGTGGTGAGTGAATTAATTAATTTCATGTGAATTCTGACCTTCGCTCCCTTGGCATCTGTGTTTTCATCCCACATTCCTGCCTGGCCAAGCTCGATTGCTTCCCGAGGCTCTGACTCTGCACCGGTGATGGCAGCACCTCGAAATGTCCGTGGTTCGGGGCGCCGACAACTAGGGGCCCGTTGTATGGCTCTACGCTGGCTGCGATCTGAGAGAGAGAGAGAGAGAAAAGAAGAGATTGGAAGAGGCAGCTGAACAAGTTAGTTCCAGAGAAGAGTTTGAGATCCATATGGCTGTGAGTCAAAACCGCGACACCCAGGTTCACCACCAGAAAGAACAGAAATAGAGGTCAACGTACCCTGGTTCGGGGGTCCAGCCATATTAACTGTATGAGTCTATGACTCATACTGTCTGCAAACCCCTCTGCAAGAACCAGCCCAAGTATTTGCGTAGAAACGGCATATTTCAGGCAACAATCCACC